ACTGTGTCTATCGCGCGCCTTCATCCTCTTTAAAAGCTTTTTCTCCGTATCTTTGTATACACGTGTGTATACATATATATGTATATAGAGATGTATGAATTGGATAAGGCTTATATACGCTTATCCCCCACCCGCCAGATCAATCTGTCTATTTTATCCCAATTTTCTAACACCCTATCGATTCCTTCTATCGGAGAATACATTGCTGTTCCACACTCTGTTTCATTGGCCCGGAATCGGGTTTCTGTTTTGACAGGGAATCGCCGATCCGTGGCGCAATTTTTCAGCTCGTTCACGATGTGAAATTCGGTCGCTTCTACAAAGCCTCGAAACAGTTCGCCCTGAATCCGGAGGGCGAACAAAGAGGATTGGAGGGGGGCTCTTCCCCCTCCCCAGACTCTCTCGCGCTCCAGCCGGGGCTCTATTTGAATTTATAGAAAGGGTTCGATTCTGTTTATTTTCAAGGATGCTGGCGGCGGGAGGAGTTGCTCTGTACTACGGGGGTAATGTTACATACGGGAACCCCTCGTAAAAACTAACGTTGAGTGAGGCTCCCTAGTGGAGAAATAAGGGGGCGCCATGGGTAACGTAAGGGGTTGGAGCATTTTAAGTATCGCGTAGGGCCTCGAAAAATCCATACGAGAACTGACGGTGGGGCACGCGTGATTAAAACTCAGTCACCCCCCAACCCCCTTAATACTCTATCCCTCTTCCACCTCCCTCTCTCTTTATTCTCCCTTCTTCCCACCAAGCTAATCCTCACGCACTTCCTTCTTCACCCCCCCCTGTAAAACCATCAGACTCTTTCGGGCACCACCGAAATTAATTGCCTTTACTGGCATAAGAATTGCTAGAGGGGGGCGCCCTGTTAATTTTACTATATGAAACCATATCCTGTTTTTTGAAAAATTTTGAATTTCATTCCTAAGCCTATATCTTCCTGAAAATTAATTTATTATCTCGCCAAAAGAAATTGTCTAAATTTATATACGATCAAACGTGAATGCCACGAGGTTCGATACAATGGTGGGTAAGGGGTGATTTTTGGTGTAAAAATTTAAAAAAAAAAAAAATATATATTTTTAATTCTTACAATAAATTACACGTTTCTCGATTGATTAGGCTGTGTGAAAATCCGACGTAAGATCTCTCGTAAAGCGCCAGGTTTACCAATCTGCCATGTGTACTAATTATAATGAGAAAGCGGTGTGTTCGCGCCACGTTTGCCAGTGTACAGTAAGCGTATAGAGAGGAGAACCACAGTGGCCTCCCGAAACGTTTATTCTTGTCGCGCGATATTCATCCGGAGTTTCGTAGAGAGAAGGTGCTAAACGACGCTCCGCAACCGAGCGTTGTACCGGCGGGCTGGGTAAAATGGCGACCATAACGTAATTTTGACAGAAATAACGCGCGCACTCTCCTCTCGCCGAGAGACAATAAGTTCGCGACACTCGACCATCTTAGAATAGTTTACTGTCTGCCCGGAGGGAAAACGCTCTGAGGTGTGTACCGCGATCAGGCCAATTCACGCAATTTCAGACTATTTTAGCAAAGATTCTCATCCACGTTATCAATTTCTCTTCTTATCAAGATCCAAAATCGATCGAACCTATCACACACAATTTTTGACACGACTAGCGGGTCGTTTCCATATATATAGATTAATTTTAAAATATTAAAAAAAAATTATTATTTTGTCCGAATTTTTGAACAAATTTTCTATACAGAATTTTCTATATGGTACTCCTATGTATACGTAGGTATACAGCCAGCCACGAAAATAATAGAACGTGTAACGTAAGAAGGGATAAAAAAAGTGTACAAAGAATTAAAAAAAAACTTAATGCATTCAAATTCGTGGTACCCGAAGCGAAATTCGATGGTTCGGGCCTGTATATTCGTGTGTTCGTATGTTTGAAGTTTGTCGAAAGGCCAGGGGCCATGGTTATACCAGAATGAAGAGGGCCGAATGGAAGGAAAAAGGGGTCCTTGTTTCTCGAAGGACTCGTCAATACCGGCTGGGGTCATTAAATTAAATTGCATCTGGCCCGGGTTTCGCGCGCTGCCGGAGCCGTTTTTCCGGAAACAATATTGTGACAAGGACCATCGAGAAACGGGCCGTTACGAATTTTTCGGTATTTAGGCCCTCTTGAAAAAAAAAAGAAGGTTCAATGGACCCTTGGTGCAGACCCATAGCAGGAGGGGTGAACGGGGTAGAAGGGAGTGGGGGGGGGATGACGACGGGCATCGTCCCTCTCACTCGCTCACGCACTTCGTCATTATCCAAACACGTACGCACGTATGTGCAGACGCAATATTAAAGGTCTGTGTATTTTCAAATACGACATATTCAGCGTCGGCGATTTTGTACATATAGGGCAGTATAGCGTGCGAGCACGGCCGTGCCGGTTATAAAGGGTTATTCAGCCGAGCCTTACGGATTAAATGATAAAAAAGAGACCCCGTTTGAAATACGGGGCCTTTTCAGATCAGCTTTTTGAAAATTTTAAACCCCTTTGCTGAGCTGCGAGTTTTAAGAACCTAGAATAAAAGGGGTTCGAGCTCAAAGGTAGGAGGGGGGGGGATAGGGTGGCAGCAGCTACTAGAGAAACACACACGGGGGTCACGTGGGGGGG